TGCTGAAGGCTGAGGTTTTGGTGCTTTATCCCACCTCAGTTCAAAGCCAGCTGACTGCTGTTGTCCCCAGCACAGGGAGGGGCTGAGTTGGAGGATGGCTCTGGGGCCACAGTGCCCCGGTTTCCCATTTTGGTCAGTGAAAGGAGGAGAATGAGGATCAGAGACTGGGTGACTGTGGCTATGCAGCATTCCGTCACCTTTGTTTCTTGTTACAGTTGCTCTTAGCAAAGCCAGCCTCCTTGGCTGATTTCCAACCCTTTATCAACTCTGTGCCGTCATGGTGCCGTCATCCAGGTGTAAGTGTGCGCAGTACACTGCTGCCAAGGGAGGACTTGCCAAGGAAAGGAGAGGAAACTGTAATTAAACCAGTCTGACCTTTGTGTCTGGGCGCTCTACAAGCTTTCTCTTCGTTCGGTTTTGTGTGTATCTGTAAACTAAGTGGCAAGACCAAACTGACTGAAGTTAGGTTTAAACCCCTGTAAAAATCCTGTGCTGCATGAAGTAGGGCATGTAAGTAACCTGTACTATTAATTTTTTTTTTTTAAATGCTTTTAGTTACACATCTACAAATCTAGACTCAATTTTTCAGTTTTGCTCCGCAGGCAGCAGGAAAAGGTTTAGCTCTGAAAACATTATCTGAGGGAAACCTGGCAACTCCTTTTAAAACTGGAAACCCATGTTGAATGGTGGCTCATATGTGTCCTCAATTTATGCTGCTAGGTAAGACAAAAAATGGAAGAGCAGGTTGCTCAGAAATCCTCTGAACTGGAACAGTATTTACAGAGAGTACGTGAACTGGAAGAAATGTATAAGCAGCTACAGGAAGCTTTGGAGGATGAGAAACAGGCACGTCAAGATGAAGAGACTGTAAGGAAACTTCAAGCCAGGTATGGCTTTTACCTAGTAGAGATTTACTTCAATTCCCCGCTCCCCCCTGCAACAGTAACTAACGCTGCCATGCTATTACAGATTGTTTGTATCTTGGACCCATTGCTGGACAGGGGGACTAGCTTGAAGTCTAAATGCAGGATAATTTTTTTTTTTTCCTTAAGCTATGAAGGCTAAAGCTGGTATTTATGATTTTTTAATATGCTTGATTAGCCCTTAGCAGTGGGAATGCTCAGCAATTTCAGAAAAGCAGATGCACTTATTTTTCTATCAGGTGTTGCATATGTCAGCACTTGAAAAACTGAGATGACTCTGTACAGACTTCTCTATTATGTATTTTATAAAGCAGTAACTGTAAATATGACTTTCTGCTGTATTGTATCACAGGTTTACATTGATAAAAGGGTTAAGTCTCCTCTTGCTCATATGGGCTTTGTTTAGCGTGGCTTGCTTCTTCATCTATTCAGTCCTCCTAAGACAATTAAGATAACTTATGCACGCTTGTTTCTTCTGTGGTTTTCAGTGTTGTGTATTTATTTGCATTATTGACTAAATTTTCTGAATAGCCTTTTGTAGCAGTCAGCCTGCTTGCGCTGCTGGCATGATTTTCAGCTTTACACTGAATACAAGCCAACAAGCAATAACTTTTTCCCTGCTTCCCAAGCTTTTTTTTTTTTTTAAAAAAAAAAAAAAGAAAGAAAATAATTAGCTTGGCTCCCTTACACTTATACTTACATAATGGATACAGCTTACTTTAAAGTGCAGTTAACGTTGCAATCCCCATTGCAGATTACTGGAAGAGGAGTCAGCAAAGAGAGCTGAACTGGAAAAATGGCACTTGCAGCAGCAACAGACCATTCAGATGACAGAAGCGGAGAAGCAAGAGCTAGAAAATCAGAGAATGATAAAGGAACAGGCTCTTCAAGTTGCTATGCAGCAACTGGAACAACTTGAACTGGAAAGGAAGGAGGCCCTTGAGCAATATGAGGTGAGCTGTTCTGTTCATCCCAGTTAGCCAGGTATTCAGCAGTTTAACTGAATTTTTGAGGTTCATCAATATCATGCTTCTTTAAGGATTGGTATGGCACAAAATGTAGAATAACAGCTGAGTTATGCATTGGGGTTTTTTGGCCTAGACCAGGAGATACTTTTGAAGAGGAGGACATGTTTTAGACATGCCACCTCTTTTACTCTTTTGTCCCAATTTGCATGCAAGCCAGCTCAGTCGTATCCTGAAATACTGTGTATACGTTTATTTTTTACTGTAGACTAACTTCTTATGCAGTCCTGTTGCTGTCATAACTAAATGCCATATGCTTTTGAATTCTTGTATTGTTATGATGATGTCATGGGCAATATTGTCTTCTACAGATGAAAAATCAATGTGCTACTGTAGGCCTGCGCTCCTCAAAAAGGTATTTAAGCACTAAACTGATGTCAAGGCTAGCTAGGAATTAGCTCAGATTCTCAATGCATAGCAGTGCCTCACATCCCAAAGGCCGGGCCTGTTCTCTGCTCTGGTGAGTGTTTTTGGTGGAGGCCAGTAGCTGTGTTCATGGCAGAAATAAGAGTCAGAATCCAGCAAGTACAAAGTCTGAGGTGCTGCATACTTTCTAGGGCTAGGGAGGTGTTGATCCTGTGTGTATTTAGGTCAGGAAACAAAACATGACTGGATTTCTGTTTAACGAGGGAGTGTGTTTATGCTGTCTCTGTGCCACAGAGGTTAGCTCTGTGAAGGACAAGCGAGTGAGCTGTGTCAGCTGGCGCAGAACACAAATGCTGCAGTGAACTGCAAGGGCCCTGGTGGGGTACTTCTGGCCGCTTTACAACTTACCGTGTTCGTGTTACATCTAACACCAGCATTAGATTGCTTTTGGCTAATACTTGACTTTTTTGTAGATGACATGGCAGGCTTTTTGTATATGAAACATCATTTACTACTCCAAAGGAACTGCTGAATACAATAGACATAAAAAACCCCCACAAAGTAACCAACCAAAAAAAAAATAAGTCCACAAAGCAGATGATGGAGTAGGTCACTGTGATAGTTGACTCGTTATTTTAGAAATAATTAAACATTCCAGCCCTCTGTTTAGAGTTGACCAAAAGACTGGTTTAGACTGAAGGATACCTCCTCCTTGCTTGGGTGTAGCAGCAGCGGTCCTTTTCCTAGCTTATGTTTTATTTCTGATAGTGAGAGATACCCACTAGCTCCTCTTAGTTTTGAACAGAAAATGCATTTTTTTGGTTTGAAACTTACGCAGCTACAAAATCTTGTAAAACGTAGTTATTTTTGCATTCTGGTTTGACAGCTTGCTTTTATACAGGTAGTGACTGACTAAATTATTTAGGATGGTTAGAAATGAAGTTCTGGCTACACTAAATGGAGCGCTGGCTGAATTAGCATGGTTCTGTCTTCGGATTTAAAAGGATGTTTTTCCTTTTTATATAAATTGAGAAAAGTTGTTCTTGTTTTCAAGTGGAATGTATCTTATTTCAGGAGGTTAAGAAGAAGTTGGAAACAGCAGCTAATAAGACCAAGAGTTGGAAAGATAAAGTAGCTCATCATGAGGGATTAATTCGACTAATAGAGCCAGGTAAGTTATCAACAGAAGGGTTACGAAAAACATGTATTCATACTGTCTTGTATACACTGATCACCTAGTGAGTTACTGAAGTCTGCCTTTTCCTGTAGCTTACTGGTTTCACAGCTGGCTATACTATAAATACAACATTTGTGAGAAATGCTGATGGTAACTTTCAAGTCTTTACTTCTACTGGCCCTACTATAACAATTTTTTTTATTATTGTTTGTTTGTTTAAAACAAAGCAAGGATCAGCCTGAACATTGCATGGTTTAGGTGTTTAATGCAGTTCGCCTAAGTGCTAACTGCCAAAAACATGAAGATAGCTAAAATGTTTGACTTCGGGGAAAAGTTAAATTTCTTAGCTTAATGAAGAGTGACACTTGACCTGTCCCACCGATGGTGGCTGAGTGACTTCCCTGTCAGCAATGCCTGTTTCAAGTATTGCACTCTGTCTTCCAGGCTCCAAGAATCCTCACTTGATCACAAACTGGGGCCCAGCCGCCTTCACTGAAGCTGAACTCAAGCAAAGACAGAAAAGCTGGAAAGGGAAAAAAGCCACTTCAGAGTGATGACGGTAGCTGACGTATCATTTGTGAATAGAAGCCCACCTTCATTCCTTCTGCTTTGCACAGAGCAGCTTCTTGCTTATAAAGATCTTAGTTTGCTCAGCAGGTTGGGCCTTTCTGCAAAGGAAATACTGTTTACCACATAGGAGTGTCTTCTCAGAGCTCAGTAATTAAAATATGTGGTGTCTGACAGTACTTGCTGTTTTCCCTCACATTTCCAGAAATTCTGTTCTTTTTATATAAAAAAACCTTTCATCTGAAGATTTTTATTTAAATGTAGCTTGTGACGGCATTGTTTCTGTAACAATCTGACAGCATCTAACTGATCAAGCAGTGTCACTTTCATTCCAAAATGCAAGGGAAGCATTCAGTTAGTATCATTTAAAGCCACGATAAATCAGTCCTGGAGGTTCTGTCCAACTCCAAGATAGAGCATTACCTTTCCTTCCACTGAGTATCCTTTGAGTTTTTTCCTCTGTCCATCTCTTGCTCTTCACACAGCACTTACTTACCGCTCAGATACATTCTTCCTTAGCGAGGGCAGGCGGGCATCACTGGGTACCTGCTGGCTGGTTGGATTGTATGTCCTGTTTTCCTCTGTTTGCAGGAATCCAAACAAAAGGCCTGGAAATAGGCATGTACAAAATGCTGCTGTCAAACGTTTGGAAAAAGTAGTCATGCAAGTTGTTCTTGTACTGTCTGATACTTGAGAAGTGCTAAAAAACAAAACCTTGAGAGTTCACTTCATAGTTTAAAAGATGTATGGTTTTGACTTACAGATTTCTGGAGCACGTGAACAGAAGGTGGTAACGCATACAGGCCAGCGATCATAGGCATCGAGGCTATGTTTGTGTAAGACATCTGAGGATAACATACCACTGGTTTAGATGCAGCACTTTTAATTTTAATTGGAGGCCAGATTAAAAAAACTGCAAGAGGAAAACTAAACCTGACATTTTTATTTGAGATAAAAATGATAAATGTGTAGCAATACTGCTTTAGAAAAAAATTAATTCCCATCAATAAAATAATTTCAGTATTTCTAGTAACAAGGCTTCCCGAAGAGCCTCCTGCTCTGTCTCAGAACTCTCTCCAGGAACAAGGCCAATTCTTAGGAACAAGTCTGTGATTTTGCTTTGTAGATTTCCCACACCAGATCGGAAGTCAGTCTATTGCTAAGTAAAACAGTATTTGTGCTGAATTGTACAAATGTTTTGAGAATTAAGTCCCCCCTCCTGAAGAGCAGGTGCCCATTGGTGTGGCTTGTTAGCTTTGAGCTTTGTCCGTGCGCTGAACGTGGACGCCCAGCTCTTGGCACCAGCTTTTGAATTCAGCTAAATGTTAAATTATTTTTAGCAAACAAGAAGTGAATGTTTCAGATGGATAACCAGTGCATTTGTGTACAGCATTGTGACACTTGGATCTCAGAAGAGCAGAAGCTGTACAGAAGTGATCTTCAGCTTTGGAAGTCAATAGCATTTTATTTGCCTATTAACTAAGACTCACTCAAATACTGAATCTTCTCAGACATCTATTCTCTGGTTATATTTTTGTACTAATTGAAATCTTTAATGTTTCAGTAAATGGAAAATCCAGGATCTTCCTGCTTGTATTTACTGTACAGGAAAGCAGTAGTTCCTTCAGCTTGCTAACAAGGTGGTTTTTTTAAGTTGATTATGTTTACAGAAGAAATGTGAAAAAAAGCTGTAATAGAAATACTAATGTATACATTGTTAAACTTTGCTAAAGGAGACAGAACAGTATTTATACCTACCACACATCTTTTATGTGGAGAGCAGAAGTTGTATTGGGGCTAAACTTGTTTAATTTTTCTAACAGTCTTTATTTTGGACAAATGTTTTTTAAGAACACCAAATGATGCATGTTTTCATATTTTTTTACTGTTCCTTAGAATTGGCTATTTAATAAAGTAATACAAAGTCATTTACATTTCTGAATTAATGGTTGTCTTTTTGCATGGGTTTCTTCTGAGTTACTGGAGTTCAAAATCCAGTAACGGTTGGGTGGAGGTGTTGCTTTGAAGGGGATTTGGATTAAAGCCATAATAAAGGCAGTGGTCAAACATAAGACAATAGAATTTGTCTTACCAGCACTGCTTCTCTTAAATGTTCATATTCAGTGCACCTTGGCACAGTATAATGATGCTCAGCTGTTAGAGGCAGTAACAGTATTTTGAGGGCACAGTTAGCTGTTTATGAAACACCAAGCATGCCCTGTGGGCAATGAATTGATACAACAGTTGCAGCTACAGTAACAGATGAAGGCTGGAGGTGCCAGCCTGGGGCCAGAGCCCACCTGCTCTTACCAGCCAGCTAATGGGGACCTGTGCCTCTGCAGGCAAAACAGCCTTTTGTTAAAACATCCCCTGCATATGTCTTTCTCAGTCACTGATAGAAGAGGAAATGAGACAAGTCACCTTTGAGCTTTGTTGTCCCTGCTTGCTCTGACAAATTAAGAAAGCTTTGTGTGAAGTGTCACATAGTAAATGTGGTTTAAAAAATTAACTAATCGCATTGTGAGTAGAATTGCCACTTTAGAATAAGTCAATTAAAGCTACACTAAACACAGCAGTCAGAGAGCAGAGCTGTGAGTCAGAGTCACCACATCTCATGAAACAGTGCAGCATCGCAAACTGCAGCCCCTGGTGTGGCGTCATTTCCAGTGAGCCCAAGGGTTACAGCGCTCCTAGTCCAAGTGACTCGATCTCCTCAATGAGATGTGACACCATTGACATCTCTGTTCCACCCCAAGCAGCTTTGTGACATTGTAGTGCCTTAAATACATGCCAGGCTTACCTACACAAAGGCCTGTGGAAAGCTGCACCTGCTGTTCTTGACCCCTCAGTAGGATGCATGGGAGGGCTTAGGCCACCTTTTTTGTCTGCCGGATTCAGGTTTATCTGCTGCAGATGGTGGAGGAATCTTGCAAACTAATAGCACAGCACCGTGCTTTTTTCCCTCCTAAAGTAGACAGAATTTTTTTTTTTTTTTTTTGCCCTGTGACCATTTTATGGAGCTGATTTATGAAACTGTTACAGCTTTATTCATACATTCCCAAACTGTAACAGGCAGGCTTCCAGCAACTTAGATTAGATTACTTCTTCTGTTAAACTTTCCTGCAGGTCCAGCCACAAAACCAAAGCCCATGTGGGAAAGCAACAGCATGTATCTGTATCCTGGGGGGGGGAACCCCAAAAGCAGCAACTGTTCAGTCACTCAGGCCTTCTGGACCAGTAGCTGCACCATCCAGTTCAGTAAAAAAGTGAAGTGAAAAAATAACTGCTCTGATTTTTATCTTGAAAACGTGAAGTAGTTAAGTAAACAATTTTTTTAGCAACCCAGTGCACAGCCAGG